CTGGTTTGTTTTATGATTGTGGGGATGAGCCAGGATTTAGGGCATTTGTCAAGGAGGGGAATTTGGAATTCTTTGGCAGGTTTTGTGACGAAAATTTGTGAAGTTTTGTTATTTTTGTAAATTATTGAAACTTTGGGGAGCCTTTGTTTGTTATCGGCGAGGACTATGTCGAGGAGAGTATATTCATGATTTGGGTTGGGAGGTTTGGGAGGGGGGCCTCCCTCCTCCTTGTTTTTTCCTTGAGACAAAATTTTTGTTTTCTTGAGTGTTTCCTAATTTGGTAATTTTGATGCGATTGAGAAAGAGTTTTTTTCCTGTTTTCTTAATAAAAATATATATTATATTATTATTTATTTAAATTATTATAATATATTTTTTCTTTTATTATTTTTTTTTGAATTTTTTTTGAAATATAAAATTTTAAAATTATTTTTTATAAATAATTATTTCAAATACTAAGATATATTTAATTATATATATTTTAAGAATTTTTATAAAAATAATGAAAAATTATATATATATATTTTTTAATAGATAAATGTCATTTTTTTATTTGATTTGTATATGTCAAAATATATATTATAAAAGAATAATATTTTTCATATAATAATAAAATAAGCTAAATATTAGCTTGTTTATAGTAACTATTTAATTAATATTGAAAAAAAAAATTTATCTTGTCAAATAGCATTAAGTAACTATAGATATTTATTTAGTATTAGAAGAAGTAAAATTGAATAATAAATATATTAAACTTTGAATACATTTAATAATATAATAAATTTTATTAAAATTATATATATTATTATATTATTTTAATTAATTTTTTTTTTAATTTTATATTAATTTTTATTTAATTTTTATAATTATAATTTATTATATTAATTATAATATTTTAAATAATATATTTTTACTATTATTAATTTTTTATTTTATTACTATATTTATAAATTTAAAATAATAGATAAAAATTATTTATAGTTTGTCTAAAAAGTTTTTTAACAAATTTCAATTTATATGTTTATCACAATTCAATAAATAATTAATAAAATAAAATAAATATAAATATAAATATATATTAATAAAAATATAAAAAACAAATTTATTTTAATAGATTTTTATTAATATATTATTAAAATTTATTAAAATTTATTATTACATCAAAACAAAATTTTTTAAAATATATTGATTTAATTAAATTATAAAGTATTTATTATAATTATAATATTATAATTTGTAAATTAAAAACAAAATTATTTAAAAAATAATTTTTGTTAAATTTTAAATCGCTTATTTAATATTTTACTTAAAAAATTTTATCAAAATTTATATTAAAATCAAAATTTAAAATTTTTTATAAATTATTTTTATAAAATAAAATAATTTTTTTAAGATTAATTTGTACATTATAAAAAACTTTGTTATAATTTATTATCGATCAAAAAAAATTTTTATATAGTAAAAATTATTTTTCTGTCTATAATATATATATATAAATTTGTGTATAAAAACTTATTAAAAATTTTTAAACAAATTTTTTTTTAGTTTTAAGATCAAATTTTAAGATAAATTTATTAATAAAGTATTAAAAAAAACCTATTATTTTATTTTTAATATTCTAAAAAATATATCCTTAAAATTTTATAACAAATAAATAAATAAATATTTGTTTGTTTTTATTAAACCTGTTTGCTTTAAAACAATTAAAAAAAAATATAAAAATATAATTTTTATTTTTAATAGTTTTTTTTGTTAAATAGCAACTATGCAATATATCTAAATTTATATTGAATTTTATTATAAATAAAAATAAAAATATATTTAGTTAGTTTTTTTATAAATAAAGACAATGCAGATATATATAATCAAAACTATATCCAATAGATTTTGATCAATGATTATTAACCAACAACTTTTAATAATCCTTAAACCCATCTTACATTTAAGAATAATTTTTTTAATTAATTATTGTGCTTGTCAATTTTAATCGAATTTTATTTTAATCATATTGGATTAATAAAAAAATTTTTTAAAAAAATGATTTAATTTATTCAATCAAAACAATTTTCTTTTTCTTAAGATTGTATGCATGACCATAGTATTACAAATAGCAATGTAATGAATTATTCTTACATTAAAAATATATATAGATTCTATCCAATGGGTTCAATAAATTTCTTGTGAATTCACATAAACACAATAAAAGAATGTGCAGCATGAATGATAAATAAAATTGTCATTTTATATGAAATTAATCTGAACATACAACATATGTAAGATGCAATCAATATATATTTGTTTATATTCGTCTGACACATTTGTTTATATTCGCTTGGTACGTTCGCTTGTTTCGCTTGACGCTCGTGAAGAATGCATGTGGTTTTTCCATTCATCAGTATATGCATTGTTAAATTTCAGCAACATTTTTATGACTGCTAATTTAAAAATCATTTGACATACACAATATATACTGTATATTTAATAATTTGTGTCTTTTTTTAAAAAAAACAACTTCTTTTCGACTAATCGAACTCCGAGTATACTTTATTTTGTCATTTGAAATTATTTATTGAAAAAGGAAAAGGGGCACCATATATATTAAGCGGTTGACGATTAGATCATAGTGTCAAAAAAAAATACTTTATCAATGAAATGAATTGATGTATTATATAATAATAATAATTATTTTATTATTATTATTATTATTATTATTATTATTATTATTATTTACTAAGAAGTAGCTTGACACGAAATAATATACCCGGTCAATTAAATAAATTTTCATGAAACCTTCGGGAGCAAGAGAATTCGAATTAGAAAAATAATTTGATTAACTGTTCTATTTCTTTGTATGCCACTGTAAAACATATTATGCAATCTTTTGATTTTATTATTTATTGCATCATGAATTGAAATGCTTTACTGCTTTGAAAAACACAGAATCGGATACCTGGTATCGAGTCAAGAGCTCAGACATTTAAACCTTATACAGGTAGACAAGGCTAGGGTGTATGTATCACCACCCGGCCCATGCTAACCCCCTAATATTACGTAATACCTGGCATTAGAATGCATACATATAATTATATATTGGGGCCGACTATGGTATTCTTTTTTATATTCGGGGGAGTTTTACATCTCACTCTCACACTAATACGATATTCGTGACTGAATATTAAGGCCTCCCTTGACAAAGATAATCTGAAAGGATCGACAATTTTATTATTGAAAAATCTCATGCCGAATAATCAGGCATTGTATAATTTTTATTTTATTTCAAATTAGCATTTACATGTTAATTGACGAAATGTCGGTGTGCGCAAGGAAATTCAAATATAAATTTTTGAGTGAAAACGAAAGCAGAAACGAAAACGAAAAGGAAACGGACTGTTGTATGAAAACAATGTCTTTTAAAAAATTGAAAATCGAAAGAACTTAGACTTTTAAATTTTACGTTTTGCATAAATCTTAAATGGTGTGGAATTAGTATGCATATAAAAGGTAGAATGAATGCGTCTGGTAAACGTTACGAAGGAATTTTATCTTAAATCGGAACATTATAACTTAGCAAAGGGATAATAGGAAAGGAACGAAGGATAATAAAAACGGTGATATAAACAAGGGTCGTTGTTCCGTCCGGTCCACTATAAAATAAGGAAAAAAAATCAAGGGGTGAGTGTCAAAAATTGAACGAGTAATTGAAGGAGTATTATTATATTATTAATTAAAATGTTGTTTTTTTTCATCAATGATTGCAGTTGACTGCAATTGAAGGTTCCCAGGGAAATATAGGACACGATAAAACACGATCTACAGTCTTTGGGTGAATTATTAAGGAATGGTGAAAGTTAATTTCCGCTTGGGTAGCAGGGATTGTTGAGACCATGTTCGAGGTCAATTTATCATGAGTCATGTGTGCCCCGTAGTCAAAAAGTGGGTCATCCAAAATTGGTAAGATGATGGAAGCGACGGGTGATGAGATAGGGCTAATAGCGGGACTGGGATAGAGCAGAACTCCCGATAAATGATTTTGCTTTCTCCTGTTGGATCTTTTCCGTTGCTGCGATTGAGTGAACTCATCATAATTATCAGAGTTCATGATGATAAAATCGTTTGTATTTTGAGTAGTTATATTCTTCTTGGGACGGTAATCGTACTTAGGAAAGAAAAACGAATGGATTTTTTTAAACTCCTCTTGCAAATTCAGAAATATCTGCCATTCTCTTTTGTTAGCTCCCCAACGGATTAGCTGGCAAATTCTTGTACAAGACTGCCCATCACCAAGGTCAATATTTCTGCGAGGATCCGAGGCAACAATACGCACCACACGTGTCAATATCATAAAAGAATTCATGGGGCGGGGGTCATGTTTTGTACGGCGCCTTGGGTAAATATGTTGGGCCTTTGTGTATGGGTTAAAAATAAGAGAATGTGGAAGCCTATATATAATTTCAACAAGCGGAAGATAGCCTTCCGTCGGCTGGTCGCCGTGCTTGTTTATGGCCAACTTCCCTTCCCATTGTGCCCGATACATTCGTGCGAAAGAAGTGAATAGAAATGTAAAGTGCGTACGATAAATCGTTTGAAGGAAATTTGTGTAAAAATTAGTCTTTTTATAGCTTAAAAATAATAATAATTTATGTTTGTTGAACTATATGAACCTTTTTTATCATTCGTCTACATTTTTACAGTATACAGTGACAGCAATTATAACAAAAAAAAAATTTCTGTTTCTGATTTCTTTTCTTTTTCTCGTAGACTTACGGTATTTAATTTGAGTTGAAATCACCCGAATACATAACATATTCTAAAATAGTGCCATGATAAGTGTGACTCTAATTGGTGACAAAAAAGTGACAGTCCAAGCACATACATACATACGTACATATATATTATAATTCAAACATACTGTATATTATTTAGTACACATGTCGTATTGTGAGTTCGTTCAAACACATGCATTCGTGAGATGAGCCCAAGCGCACACGCACATCCTTTCAAAGAAAAATTACGATACAGAAAAAAAATTTTTTTCTGATGTGAATATATACTGTACGTTCCATACATACGTAAAAAAAAAACAATTTATTTAACAACGAATCAATTAAATAGATAATATGTACAATAATAAATATA